ACATCATCGACCAACTACCTACGGCAATGCTGTTAATTCAGATATAGATCTCATATGCTTAATCTAAAAGACTCGTAATAGAAGATTAGTAACTTGACCAGGTACTCAGATGACCCTGTTGAGTCAAAGTTGGGAAGTCAAAATTGGTACATAGGCAATGTATTATTTATAAGAAACATGAGCAAAAAAACAAACAAAAAAACATGTTCCAGATGTGAATGCTTAAAAAGTTCTCAAAGCTACAGCACCAAGTACATCATTAGTTAAATATATATATATATTTTTTTTAAGTGGAAACCGACAGAGTGAAATAAAACATTCTTGTTATTTTTTATTGTACAGCTGCTGCATTATTATTTAATTACATTATTATATGCCTATTGTAGGAAAACATGCAGAGACACACTGCACACCAACATACACTACAAAATGTGTCTTTAAATGCAGAGTATGGGGGGTGCGTGGCCGGGACACGGAGCGAGCTGGACGTGTGTGAGTGAAGCTCCACTCCGACAGCACCACTTGCAGCTCACATCAGCACACAAAACTGAACCAGAACCGCCGACATGGAGAAGCGACTCCCTAAGAAACCCCCCAAGTGGGTGGCTGAGCCTGGAGCCACTGTGGCGGATCTCTTTGCCTGCTCCCGACAAAACCCGACGGGCTCTCAAGATGGCGCCGAGACTGAAGCTGGCGCCATGACAGCGCCTCCTCTCCCAGCTCCAACTCAGGGGACACAATTTAAAGCCCCAGACACCAACCAAATCCTGTCTAAGTTATCTGAGGTCAAAGCCTACCTGGCTGGAGAAATTGAGTGCTCTACACAGGTGCTTCAAAATGAAATACACTCCATTGGGGACCGCACCACTAGACTGGAGCAACGCCTCGAAGCCACAACCGTCGCACACAACACGGCCATACAGCAGGTAAATGCTTTATCTGACAGGCTCACTAATGTGGAACTCGCAATAGAGGACATGGCGAATAGATCTCGCCGAAATAACCTACGCCTGCGGGGCCTACCAGAGCGACAGGGAGAGGGCCCCATAACGGAGCTGGTAACCCAGATTCACAAATACCCCCAGGGATGTCGTGATTCGATTTTTGCATTTCCAAACAAAGGAAGCCCTACTGCGCAAAAGCCGAGAAGGCCCAGTACGATACCAAGGCCACGAGCTCGCTATATACCAAGACTTGGCCCCGACCACGTTGCAGCGTAGAAGAGAGTGGAAGCCTATGACGGACACGCTGAGGGAGCAAGATATCAAATATGCTTGGGGATAGCCCTTTAAACTACTCATCTTCCGAAACAACAGAACGCATATACTGCAACCGGGGGACGACGCAGCAGCCTTCCTGGTGGGCCTGGGGCTACAGGTGCCGACAAACTTGCCCCCAACGATTGCCACCCGGGGAGAGCTCCGAGATCTCCCACTGGAATGGCTACCAGCAGGAGAGTAAGGTACCAGGGCCCCAAATACACATGCACGAACTCTGAGTGCCTCCCACGTCACACACTTACGGGAGGGCCGCTCAGCGCATTGGGTGGAGGACGGGGTGAGGATTCTGGGCACCACACCGCCAAATGGCACTATGACTAAATAGGGAACTTTTGCTCTTGACCCATTCCACAGCTTAGAGTGCTGCCACTAGCAGAGGGCTGGGGAATGCACATTGCCCTTCCAATCTGAGGCAGCGCGTATAACCCCACAAGGGCGTACGTAGGGTCATACCCAAAGGAACTATGCTCACATCAGACAGGCAAGGGCACCAAGGACAAACTATCCCAACTATAAGCAGGATCACCTAGACACAGACATTCTGCGGACACTTTGTACCTCATGATGGCCGGACTGGCCCTTGGGCCCTACCCACTTTCCTAAGGGGGGATGAGATTTTATATCCAAGAGGACATGGCCTTGATGCACACCTTGAGGATACATACTAACACTATTTAACACCACCACTACTTTTAGGCAAGATGCCCCCCGAGGTTGTACAACAAGCTCAACTAACACCGGAGGGCCTACATAGGAGAGGTCTGACAGCACGATGGGAGGTGTCTGACCCATAGGCACAATGGCGGGTGTCGCACGGGGGGTGGAGGTGGGGGCAGGGTGACGACTTAGTCGACTCCTCTCGGGTCTGAGAGCCCACACGATGGTGCTTCATCTAACAATATAGGGTGAGGCCCAGACGGGGGGTCTTGGACATGGGGGCTCCACCAGACGGAGGATATAGGGAAAGCCTAGATAGTCGGCAGGGTACCCACCCCTGACCCGGCCTTACTCCCCCCCACAGTTTGGGACGATACCTACCCCAGGGGGATGGTGGAGACTCCAGACCTTCACATTAACACTACAAGACTGAAGCTCCCCACATTCACGCTACAAGATGCTGACTGGCCTCGGGGGGCCCTGGTGACACGGGGGAGTACGGGGGTGATGAACTAGCATTGATAGGGATACGCTGCCCTTGAGAGGGGATAGCCTGGTTTTCTCAGTTATGGTTATAAGCGGTGAAGTCACACCCGGTGACATTTATTCACAATTCATCTACCCATGGTTAGGGTGATGAGCTTGGGAATCACACCCCATATTGTTCTGGCTTTGCATAAGACCAGATACTCACTGTTGTTTTATTTTCTCTATGTCTTTACCCTATTCTTTTTCCTTACTATCCTTACCTGTTTCTCATCGGGCACCAGAGCCGCAGGAAACCCAGGGATCGAACTTGCACAACCGTCCAGACCAGGGGACCATAGAGATAGACTGAGACAGCAATCCTACCATAGGGGTCTATGGCCGTCAAAGTGGTGTCCATAAACGTGAAGGGCCTGAATGCCCCCAAAAAGAGGAGGCTGATGTTTAAAGAAGTGAAAAGGATGGGAGCAGATGTCGCCTTCCTTCAGGAGACACACATGGCGAGACACGCGACCATTAAAGTAAGTGATCGCACCTACACTACTTCGCACGAGGCTAGGTCCCTACAAAGAGGAATGGGGTGGCTATACTGATACGTAACACGTGCCCCATTTACGTTTCCAAGGTACACGCAGACCCGGAGGGGAGGTACATTATTCTGACGGGCTCCATACATTCACACACGATACAGATGATAAACATCTATGCCCCAAACACCCCAGACATTGCGTTCTGGAAGGAATTACAATCTAAACTACATGCCCTACCGCAGGGCATAATACTCATGGGGGGTGACTTTAATGCTGCACCGTGTCCAGCCGCCGACAGGAGCTCCAGGGCGGGTCAGCTGAGATCCCATGGCAGAGGACGACAAGACAGGGCTCTATATGAATTTATCAAATCAACTGGCCTTCTGGACGTCTGGAGGGCACAGCACCCTGATACGGTAGACTATACATTCTATTCGGCCCCGCATGGAACATATTCACGAATCGATTTCTTCTTGGTAAACGATGCTGGCATGGCCAGAGTGACGGACTCGACCATCGGGTCCATCGCATGGTCAGACCATGCGGAGGTCACGGTGACGCTGGGGAACCTATGCATGGCCTCGCCTTGGAATTGGAAAATAAGCCCCAGCTTACTCTGAGACTGGCAAACACAAGAGACAATTAGACAAGACAAGACACTGTATTAAAATCCATAACTCATATTTGGCTGAGCGTCTCCATGTTCCACATACCCCAAGATAGCTTGGATCTGAGTGCACAATATAGACGAATAGCGCTCAGATCCCACGAACACAGTTCTCAATATCGTCGAGTAAAGTTTTAAGTTCACCGGTTGTTCGGGAAATTGAATCCGAAAAGAGTTCCATAACTGCAGCTACCTGGGGTCGGTCTAGCTCGTATAAGAGGTAAAGTGTTCGGGAGTTATTAACCGAATGGACGGGAACTTGGTGCGCTTCAGAGGTGTATGGCTAAATAAGTGTCCGAAAACAGTTCCAGAGGGTCGATGACCATTTACCGCTGAACGTTCGACGATTTTAAAATGGCGACTGCCACGTGTTCGGCAAACGAACGTGGACCACTAAGCCTTTCATCAATAACCTTGCGGTTAACCGCAAGGTCTGGGTGGTAAATGAGCTGCACACAACCCTGGTGGGAGGTCGGGTGGTTCGGGAGTTTGTTCGGCTCTTTTACAAATACACGAAATAGCCAAACACATGAATATTAAGACGAAATGCTGTTTCCCTGAGTCTGTCCAAACAGGGCTTTCGTCACATGACCCTTACAAATTGTATTATAATATGACCAAAACCTACCGGGTCCTGTAACTTTTAGGACTCCTGTAGGCGGTATGAGGCTGCCACGGTGATCTGCAACTCGCAAGATTGACATAGTTCAGAACACCTTCTGTACATGGAGCAGCTGATCGGAGTGGTGCAGGACCGGAGACATTGTGGCTGCCATGCGGCTCCCCCTGAGTCTGCAAGTGCTGCACGGCAGCTCGAGGTATGACACTTATAGGTAGATGATAAAATTAATAAAATACTTGTGTGGAAAAAATTAAGTCTCGTTCCCTATTTTAATTCATGTTTAACGGCTATATATACCCTAATATGCTTAAACGAACACTATAGCTTTATGAATACATATGTATTGAGAGTATAGTGCGCATGCACGGCAAAATTCAGCGCTAGGCTAGTCAGATGGTCTCTCTGAGAAAATATGCTGGATAGATCAGTCTATTCTCTTTTTTGTGAATACATATTTTATTAGGTATTTCCAGTATTTCAATTTCAGTTGTATCAAATCATAGGAAGGCGTTTATAGGGACGCGCAGGTCCCAGTAATTGCACTTAGTGCTTAGCGCCTTAGAACATAAAAGGAAAACAGAAAAAAGGAGGGGGGTGGGAAAGAAAATACATTCAAATAAACAGGCAATGGTGACACGCAGGTCGCCTTTTAAAGCACAAATAACATTTACGTGGTGGACTCGCAGGTCCTATGAAATATAAACAATGGATGGTACTTTCATATGCTCTATAGGGTGACAGTGTGGACACGCAGGTCCTGTTCTACCTAACAGTAGTATTCGCGGCAGGAGGTAATGGTCACTGTTTGTGTTTCGTTGGCTTTTGCCAGTCTCGACCTGGTGCCATAGGGTATTATATATTATATGGTGGGTCTACTAGTCCCCCTGTCCTGTATGCGTGCTTGTACCTCTCTCCTGCATTTTGTGTTGTTGCCTGTTGCATAGGCGTTTACTCGTTGGACTCGCTGGTCCCAGAGCTCTTTTGAAGTTGGTCCTACATCAGTTTTATTATCACTCTATTCTCTTGTACATATGATGAGTTGGTGTGATGAGGAAGCTCCCATATCACTTGAGAAGATAAAATTTCTCATCAGCTTCGAAATAGACCTGTTATGTGTGGTTAGAGCTTTTAGCCTAACTTTTGGTTAGGACCTGGTTGAAATAATACTTTGCTCCGATT